TCAGCATAACACCCTCAAGGTCCATCCATGTTGCTACACATGGCCAGATTTCATTGTTTCTCATTGCCATGGAGTATTCCATGGTATAGATAAACCACATCTTCTTGATCCATTCATCCATGGATGGACACTTAGGCTCTTTCCATGTTTTAGCTATTGTGGAGAGTGCTGCTATGAACATTGGGGTACAGGTGCTCCTATGCCTCAGCATTTCTGTATCCCTTGGGTAAATTCCTAGCAGTGCTATTGCTGGGTCATAGGGGAGTTCTATTGTTAGTTTCTTTAGGAACCTCCACACTGTTTTCCAGAGGGGCTGTATCAGTTTACATTCCCACCAACAGTGTAGGAGGGTGCCCGTTTCTCCACATCCTCGCCAACATCTAGAGTCCTCTGATTTGCTCATTTTAGTCACTCTGACTGGTGTGAGGTGGTATTTCAGTGTGGTTTTGATTTGTTTTCCCTCATGAGGAGGGATGCTGAGCATCATTTTATGTGTCTGTTGGCCATCTGGATGTCTTCTTTGGAGAAGTGTCTGTTCATATCTTCTGCCCATTTCTTCACCGGGTTGTTTGTTTTTTGGTGTGGAGTTTGGTGAGTTCCTTATAGATTTTGGATATTAACCCTTTATCTGATATGAATGATCTCCTTTTCTTATAAGGACACTAGACATATTGGGTTAGGGTCGAGCCTAGCCATCCCTCTTTAACTTAATACCCTTTAAAGGCGCTAATTCCAAAATAAGGTCACATTTGCAGATAATGGGGGTTTCAACATATGAATTTGAGGAAGATGTAATTCAGCCTGTAACATCTGTTACATACTAAAATGTTAAAATCAGACAGGGAAGGACTTTATTTCAACCCCTGACAGACGTTGGTTACAAAATCCTAAAATGTATCTACTTTATGTGGTATCTCATATTTTACTTTGGGATTCCAAATCATTCTCTACACAAGAACATTTGCAGAAACAGAAGGAACAAACACAGATTCATTTCTTAATTTACTCCAACTTGCTAGGGCTCCTACTTGCTAAGGTTGGATTAGTATTCTGAGAGGGATTAAAAAAAAAAAAAACAGCAAAAGAGTCCCTGTTTTTATTAAGGTGACTTATCTCTTCCACTTACCTTTGTGACTTTTGAAACCAGGAAACCTCTTGGAAGACACACTAAAGGATTTAAAATTTAGAACTTTAAAAATTATTATTCCTTGGAAGCCACATCATGGCAAATATATGTTATGTTTTTGATGGGGAAAAATCTGTTGTAAGATGGCCGACAGGACTGATAGGGAAATTCCAGTCCCCGACAAAGGAAGACTCCCCTTCCAGGTACTTCTTCCCACCCTGCTTTCCTGCCAGCTCAAGGAATTACTATGAATGTGGAATGCGGACGTAGCAGACTAAATTGTTCCCTCTGCTTAGCTTGGGGCTCCGACCTCTGGAGAGTGATCTCTTCTGAGCCCACTGGTGAGAAATTAACCTCCTGCCTTCCAAGATCTCTGAGTGCCGCTTGGTTCTTCCACCGGGTGATCCAGACCAGGTTCTGTAACATTTGGTTTTCTGACTAGGAAAGCCAACCGCGCAGGCCCATTGTTGCACCACTTTTGGAAACCTGCAAGGCGGAATTGCAGAAGGAGGAATCTTAAGGGAGAAGGCATGCCCAGCAGTCTCCAGCTTGGTCGCCTCATGCTGGCCTGCTCCGCCTTTCCTGCCGGACATAATAACCTCTGATGTGTAAGTGAGTGTGAATGTGCGACTCAGTCTGCCTTGCCTGCCGAGTATGATTCTGTGGCTGCACGGGCGAGCACCCTTAAGGTCCCTAAAAGCTCATGGAGTCTGAGTGGGCCCGTCTGCGGTTCCATGGTGAACGGCATATAGTCTATGGTGGCATCGGAATAGTTTCTGATGTTAAGTCACAATGCTGAGGCTGCTACAGCTGAGAGTCACCTAAGTTCCTTTGGGACATGGCCAGATGGGTATCTGATTGGTTTCCTCATTAGTAGGGGTGTTGTGCCCAAATCGCGAGTCCCCTGAGACCTCCAAGGAGCCGACACCAATGCATAAGGGTCTTTATTACAAGCTCGAGCAGGGGCTCACTCATCTACCGGCGCAGCGGCTGCAAAGGTGAAGCCCCGAACAATAGCGAGCAAGGATTTTATGGGGTAAGGGACGGGGGTGTTACAGTGCACACGTTGTACATATTGCATCATCACATAAGCACCAATCATAATTGTACAGTACCCATAGTAACAGTTTTGACCATTCAGTGTCTGTGAAGCGTCCATTACTTTTGGCGGGACACAATCATGACCCACATTCTCACAATCATTTGAGAATCCTTTGAAAATGACCAATTATGAGGTGAGCTCAGAGGGCCTACGTGGGGTTCAGGCAAGCGGTGAGAAATCGGCTAGTTTATACAGAGTAACTACCTGCAGTTCCCAGCCCAGACTCAGACCACAGGAATGTTACACATTTCTTTTGCTTGGCTGATCTGAGGGAGGTCCGAGGGTGGCTTCAGCTGAACTTTTCCTGGAATTAGGGCTACGTGCAGCCCAAGGTTGCTCTTAAAGGAGGACTTAATTTCAGGCTCTTCAGGAGCACCCCTACGCCTCTGTCTTTGCGACTCCATCTCACAGGAACACTGTAGATTCAGGATGGAGCCAAAAAGGGGTTTTTGGGAACTATGGAATTAAGATGATCCCCGGCAAGTTAAGGACACTTTGTGAGTTGAAATGGCCCACTTTTGATGTGGGATGGCCCTCGGAGGGAGCCTTAAGTGTCCCAAAGGACCACTGCATCTGGTGTGTTGTCACCGGAGACCCAGGTCACCCTGATCAGTTACCATATACCGACTCCTGATTAGAGATTGCTCAAACCCGTCCCCCTTGGGTATGATTTACCTACAACAAACAGGGACAGGCTAGGGCCTTAGTCGCCTCAACAAAGTGGCCCAAGGAAGGTCAACAGAAGTCCCAACCTCCATAATCTCACTGGTGATCCAGAGAAATAACTAATCTTGCCCCCACCATATGAACCCCCCAGTTCCCCATACTCTGCCACCTTCAGTCTCCCCACCACCTCCAGACTCGGCAGATCCTCTCTCCCCCGGACCAGTGACCAGACTGCACCCTGGGCCAGGTGCAGGTGCTCTCCAGATGCCCATCCACATCCACTGGTACCAAGAGGTTCTCCCATGGAGGATCCGAACAAGGGCTAAGAAGCCCGTAAATATGCCCAGTAGCAAGAAGAATCCCCCAGGGATTACTAGGAGATACTATGCAAGGTTTACACCCCGTCTGACCCCGAGGCACAAAAGAGCCACAACAAAAAGACTGGGAAGGTCCAGCCACTGACGGGGTGGGGGTGGGGGGGGTGGGGGGTGTGGAGGCCCCAAACCTCCTTAGCAAGGGACCAATGTGCCTACTGCAAGGAGAAAGGACATTGGTCTCAACCAGGGAAAGTCCCAGAAACGCAGCCAATATGCACAAGAACCCTGCAAAAAAGACATCATAGGCCTAGCAGAAATAGATTCAGATTGAGGGGGGTCAGGCTCACTTCTTCTTGGCCCCTGTGAGCCCACAGTCAAAACAAAAGTAGGAGCCAAACTATGACTTTTATATGAACTCAGGGGCCACACAGTAAGGCATGAGTTCCTGTCCCTACCTGAGTGCCCTATCCCTCTCCTTGCCGGGGATATACTCTCAAAGCTGGGGGCCCAAGTAACCTCTGAGCCAACGGGACACACCAGGCTCCAATTGGATCCAAGACAAGAAAAATCAGGCCCCTTATAATGGCAATCACTACACTAAGAGAGGAAAAATGGAGAGTACTCTGCGCCCAGGCCCAACAGAGTGGCCCACCTGAATTCAGGATTGCCTTCCCCACTGTATGGGCCCAAGACAACCCCCCCCCCCCCCAGATTTGCCCACAACCAGACCCCTGTCAGTATAGAGTTCATCTCAGGGGATTAACTGGGAGAGACACAGAGACAGCAGCAATATGCCCTCCCACAAGAGGCAAGGGCAGGCATTCAAGAAGCAGACATGCTTGTGGAATGCCAATCACTCTGAAACACCCCTCTCTTGCCAATCAGGAAGCCGGAAAGCAAGTACCAACCAGTTCAAGCCTTGAACCCGGTGGTCCCAAACCCATACACCTTCATCAGCCGGATTCCAGGCTCTGCCAGCTGATTTAGCTACCTAGACTTGAAGGATGCCTTCTTCTGTCTCTGCTTGGCCCACTGGAGGCAACCTTGTTTGCCTTCTAATGGACTGAACCAGACATGGGGCATCAGACAACTGACTTTGACACACCTCCCATAGGGGTTTAAAAACTCGTTTACTGTCTTTGGGGAGGCACTGGCTAGAGACCTCGTTGGCTTTCCAAGGGAGGCCACATGCTGCAAAAAGAGCACTAGGGCCGGAGAGAAAGAAGGTCATCACCTCCCTACCCCAGCCCCAGCTGGGGGGGGGTGGGGGGGGAGGGGGCTGTGAGAATTCCTAGGGGCAGGATTCTGCTGAATCTGGGTTCCCAGATTCTCTGCAATAGGAAGACCCCTCTATAATCTCTTGGTAGGGCCAGATCAAGAACCCCCTGTCTGGACAGAGGAGGCTGAAGCCACCTTCCTAGGGATAAAGGCCACCTTGGGGCAGGCACCAGCCCTTGGCCTGCTGGATACAGAAAAGCATTTTAATCTCTTTGTCCATGAGAAGGAAAATGTTGCCCTCAGGGTTTTCACATAGACAGTTGGCCCTTGACAATGGCCAGTAGCATACCTGTTGAAGAGGCTGGGCCCAGTGGCCAAAGGATGGCCACCATGCCTTAGGGCACTAGCAGCCATAGTTCCGATCATTAAAAAGGCAGATAAGCTCACCCTGAGACAAGAACTTCATGTTAAAGTCCCCCATGCTGTCGTACCGGGGGCACTCAAAACGGGTTAGATTTCACAGACGTCCAGCCAAGCTGAGGATTTAGATACCTGCTAGTTATAGTCTGTACATACTCTGGATGGGTCAAAGCCTTCCCAACCAGGATGGAACAGAGCTGGGAAGTAGCCAAGGTCCTCCTGAAAAGAAATCGACCCCTGATTTGGCTTACCCGTCACAATCCACAGTGATAATGGGCCTGTGTTCGTGGCAGACATTATATAAATTTTAACCAACTCCCTCAACATCACTTGGACTGCTTACCAGCCTCAAAGCTCAGGGAAAGTAGAGCAGATGAATCGCACCTTAAGGTAAGCTGAGTCAAGTTCTGTCAGGAAACAGACTTCCATGGCCAGACCTGTTGCCCTTGGCCCTTCTGCGTGTCCATTGCACACCAGGAACTCAAGGTTTCTCCCCTTTTAAGCTAATATATGGGAGGCCCCCTCCATGTCTAGGGAGGCTCCCAGAGAACCTATACCAAACAGGGGACAAGGGAATAAGAAAACGACTTTGAGCTTTAGGGGCCACCCTAAATAAGTTACATTGATATGCTGTAGAGAGGGCCCCCAATTTCTTTAGGATCCTCTATACACCCCTTCTCACCAGGGGATTCAGTCTGGGTCAAAGATTGGAAACAAAGGACTCTGTCAAACCATAGTGGACTGGGCCTTATATCATTATTCCAACCACCTCTACTGCCCTCAAGGTCATAGGTATCACTCCATGAGTCCACCATTCCAGAGTCAAAAGGGCCAATCCTGAGGAGCCCCAGACTTGGAAGATTGACCCAAGTCTGACAAACCCACTCAAAGCAACCTTCTGGAGGTTCCTAGATTCTTAGGATCTTCAGCCCTGAAGCCTTCTTCACACGTAGTTGGCACTTGGGCTGAAGTCACTCAAATGGCTATAGACTAGAACAGCTAAGGCTCCTCGGACATTTCTCCATTTTTCTCTCTGGAAGGCCTCCCTACATGGTGACCTCAGGTGGACATTTTGCACAGCAGGGGAGGCTCCATATGTAAGTGTCCCAAGAGAAATGATCAGAAGCTACACGGACTTATCTAACCTAGCTTTGGAAGTGACACAGTATCACTTCAGCCACATTTATTCATCAAGGCAGCCACCAGATCACCCAGGTTCAAGAGGTGGTCTTGAAAGAAGTCCCAAAGACTCGGTGGACATATTTTAAATACCACCACACACCCCTTAAAGATTGGCCCTCCCATCATCTATTCAGCTGGATCACCTGTGAGTCCACAGAACCTGCTTTCTATGGCCATCTGCACCTCCAGACCCTCTTCTCTCATCACTGTCCTTGTGGATAGTTTCCACTTTCATTTCACAGACCTCCTTTCCTAGGATGGACTGTTTAGAGAGAGAGAGGTCATGGTCTTTGTGAAAAGGAACCATGATTTCTGGTTAACCCCCAGTTATTATTTAACCCAGCTAAGACAAAGACTCTCATAACCAGTGTTTCAAGTTAAATTTTAGGCCTTATTTCGTCTCCAAAGAAGAAGGAAAATACAGAGACTGCCAACTGGCAGTGGGGAAGGCTCTCCTATGCTGGCGAAGCCCAAACCTACCTGCTGTCCAGTATAAGCACAGAAACAAAAAGCAGGCAGGTCAGTGTGGAAGGAAAAGCCTGCCTGTCCTCCTAACCTCTAAAGGTGGATTCCTTGTATATCGCTTTGTCCACCTGAGCAGAAAAGATGAGCATCTGGAATCTAAGTCCTTTCTCCTTTGAATGTCTCTCCACTCAATATCAATTCCTTGAATAAAAATTCGAGTGGGAGCCTAGAGTAATGAGTACTCTTCAAAAACAATTTCACTGGGAAATATTAAATGAAATTTCCAGTGACAGCTTAACCATTTTAGGCAGAAAAAGAACCTGATATAATTCATGCATATTGGTAAAAGGAAAGGAAAGAAATTTCGTGACGCTTAATTTAGGACATAGAGTCCACTATGTGGAAATAAATGCCTCAAGACCCCAAATATCTTTGGATCAGTCTTAATTTACATTAAAGTTACCTTGTTTGCTCATTTGTTTGTTTTGTTTTGTTTTATTTTAAGCAGGAAACATTGAGGGATATGTTTGGAAGCTGTTTTGGTGAGCACATTTGAGAATGCAAACCACAAGATTTACAATTGGCTTTGTTTGGATAAAATAGAACTGAGCATGTATACATGTCAGTTACCATAAAATATAAGTAAAATTTACACTTATTCTGTGTTTTGTCATCACAACATTGAATTTCTGTGTAACTCCGTGACTATGGGGAGGAAAGAGTTTTCCTATAATCTTCAATTTATCTGACAAGTTTTTAGAACTCCTACTTGTAACCTTTAGGTTATAAATATTTGTTTTGAGAAACTGCATTTGTTAAAGTGTTGTAGGAAACTGTTCATGGAGACGTAAACTCTGCCAAGGAAGGTTGATTTTATCCACCAACCTTGAACTACTAGTCCATTGCTTTTTGACCTTGCTCAATGGTAAAACAAAAACAGTATGGACAGTTTCTTAAAATTAGGAACATTGCCAAAAGCATTCTTACTTACAAAAGTATATTACAAAATAACTTTAATAGGCCAACTTTAAAACACAGTGTAGAATCCTGATTTTTCATAACCCTAGCATGGAGCCCTGGTGAGATGCCCTGTCTCTTTGATTTCCTGACATTCCACCTAATAGATGTCAAACTCTGAATAAGAAGCACACTTGGAGGCTTTTTGGAGGATCAATGTCAAAAGAAAAAATAGGTATGGAAACCTCAGAAACATGATAGAAAATGAAGAGATAAATATAGGGAGTGAAATTGTGAAATATGTCATGATCGTATTATTTTTACTGACAGTGTAAAACTCACATCAATATTAAAACTGAAAACAAAGGAAATCCAAGTCTCATAAAAGGTTCCTAACATCATCCTGTCAGAGGATGCTTCCCAGTTCCAAACCCAAGCATTGTAGTCACACTGAAGTTTAAGTTTATGGGTGTTAAGAATATTCTGTAAAGACAACCAACTGGATGTCTTCACAGATCAACAAAAGAAAAATGGGGAGAAGGAACACTGTTTTAGCTTAGGACATAACAAATGTATACAGGATACAGTCTTTGGTAAGGGCTTGACTTGAAAAAAACACATAAAAACATTTTGGGGTCACTTGAGGCCATTGAAAATAGTATATTAGGAAATAATGATTCATTCATCAGGAGTGATAATGGCACCATGTGATATAGGATTATATGCTGACATATTTTGGAGTGAAACTTCATATAGTCTACAATTTAAAATGGTTTGGTGGGAAAAATCCACATAGATCACGTATATGTGGTAAGACAACAATTGGTTATAAAAGTGTTGAATACCCTTTTTCTTCCGATTTTCTTTATGTCCGAAAAATTTCAAATTAAAGTTTTTAAACTACATGGATGTTACTCCTGTCCCTAGATTTTTTTTAATTCTTAAAATAATAAGGAAAGGGGTGTTAAAGTTAGCTTAAGAAGATGGGACCTATAAGTTCAAAAAGCTAGCAAATATAGTCAAAGGGCTGTTGTGCAGAGGTGAAGGCCCTCACCACTGAAACGAAACAAGTCTAGAAATGTTGACTCACCCTCGGATTTCTGTGGACAGTGCTATGCCAGCTGTGCTTCCCTCATGACCGTCAGGCAGAATGGCAAAGTGTAGTTACCCCAGGAGCCAACCAAGTCCACCAGAGGTCAAAAGCGTGGCCTCTCAACATGGATGGAGCTAGAGCCTAGTGAAATAATCGGTCAGAGAAAGACAAATACCGTATGATTTCACTCATATGTTTTTGTAAGAAACAAAACAAACAAAAGAAAAAAGAGACAAACTAAGAAATAAACTCTTAACTATAGAAAACAAAATGATGCTTACCAGAGGAGAGGTAGGTGGGAGGATGGGTGAAATAGGTGAAGGGGATTAAGGAGTGCACTTGTCATGATGAACACTAATGTATAGAATGATTGAATCACTATATGGTACACCTAAAACTAATATAACACTGTATGTTAACTATACTGGAATTAAAATTAAATAGGTAAATAAGTGTTGGACTCTCTTTATTGGTTTCAGTGTTTCAGTCTCCCAAACTAAATTAAACAATTGGTCAGAATAAGCCTCTGTGTCATTGTGTAACAGTAAGAGCAATGAGTAACCCTATAAATAGTAATAATGATGCCTAACATTTACTGAGCACTCAGGGAAAGGCACCATAAATTGGTTTGGACATTGAAGACAATGCTTCAATATCATGATAAAGCATGTTGTACACACTGAGCTGTGTGGTCATTATGAGTAGTCTTTCCTTAAGCCAGGTGTTCAACAGAAATTTATTAAAGTCTTTCGTAGCATCTAAGTGGGCAGTCTCCCAAGGTTAAGCACTATTGGCCAACTGTACAGGAGTTACATGGCAGCTGGGACACTCTTCCTTCCTTCCACCTTTTTTTCCCCTAACTCCTGCTTGTCCTGACTTCATCCCTCTGCCTGTGAGAAGAACTTCCTCCACTCCAAGCTGGCTGAGGCGGTCTGCATACTCCCTTACTACAGTTGTAGCCTTTATTATCCATCTAATCCTTTGGGCCATTACACACACAGCTCAAGACCAACATGTTCATATCTCTATTCATTTTTTTTTTCATATCTCTACTGATTTATCAACTTATCTCTCCTGCCCTCACTAACCAGAAATATTGTATCTTCCTTCTGGACACCTCCTCTTTGCACAAATGCTCAGGAACAGAAGGAAGTAACAGTCTAAAGAAAGGGGGTGGGGGGGCTGTTCTTCAGTCTAGCCTCCCCATCCAGAAACAAGACTGAGTCAGTCCCTGAGGGCTATGGCTTCTTGTAGATACCTGAAGTCACTCAGTTCAGCTCCCAGGGTAATTAGGAGGATCAAATGACCTAAATTGGGTGGCAACACTCCACAGAGAAATAACTAGGGCTATGCTACTTGTTAAATAGCCTGATGTTGGGTTCATTTTGTCTTCCTTATTTAATACTTTCTACTCTATGTCAAAACTTCAAAATTGTATTTTTATAAAACTTTTTTTCAACTGTTAAGAACTCGGCATGTATTCAGAGGGTGCTCAGAAAATACCTATTCAAAAAATATTCTATAATAGACTAAGGAAGCATTAAGACTGTCATCTCCAAGGAACTTGCAATTGAATGGAGAAAATAACGAATGTAAGGCACGCTTCCTGTTACATGTAAGCACATGTAGGCAGTGCCATCGGAGTACAGAGAAGTTGACTTCTGACTGGCAAGAGGCTGATACTGTAAACTGAAGTTTAATGACATGTTATATCAGTCTACAGTGATAGGAGGAAGAATGTGAAGTTTTCCCCTTTCTCTCTATCCAACACTGCCTCCTAGTGGTGCCATGGTCCCTTTGTAGTGCCTCTCAACTCCCAGAGAGGTACAGAAAGGGAAATGGAAACATGGCATCAACAAGTTGCTATAGAATCTAAAGTGATTTGTGAACATTATTTTTTAGTTGAGCCATCTTAAGTGAAGCCTTCATCTCCCTTGTTTCTCCTTTCCAGGAAAACTGTTCTACCAAGAAAGTGTCACATACCATGGGTCCTAGCATTGTTATCACAGAGTGCACTGGGTAAAGGCAAAGTACCCTCAAAAAAAGATATAAAAAGGTAAAGGAGAGTTCTAACACTGCCTTTATGGAAGGGTCGATTTCTGTTCGCAGGCTGTGATGAGAGTAGCCTCCTTGTAGAGACTGCTTAGGGGAGGGGGGGGGGGTGGGGTCACATTTCCCTGAGTTTGAGTCTAATTGAAATGTGGTCCCAAGAGCATTGAAATCTTGATGTATGTATCAAAAGATGAAAATCCTGTCATGTCAAAAGTGGAGCTGTTTTCTGTTTTGCAAGAAGTGACAGCTTAGGTACCCTTGTCCTGGAAAGTCCCCCACGATAAGCCAGGTGACTGTTCAAGGACAAAACTGAGGCTCTAGGTTCATGTAAAAGGTTGTCAGTGCAGCAGATGGAATTACAGCTTTGAATACTTTCTGTTCCATCAACAAAACAAAAATGTCAATATTTCCTTTCTATATATGGGTTGGGACATTGTATGCCTAAAAATGGTTGTTTCTTTTTGTGGCCCATGAGGGTTTTATCAGAGAGGCACTAACAGGAGCCCAAAGCTGGAACAAGTCATCTTCACCAGAAACCTTGAAAGGCTTGCAAGTTGTGCACCAGAATTGGTGCCTCAAGGCCCCACTGAGGAAACGTGGCTCAGAATATATAACTCACTGAGAGCAAGAAGTTTGTTCCATGGATATTCATCCCAGGGCCTAGAACCTTGCTGGGTTCATAGGAGGCATTTCAATGTTTGTTGAATGAACACATGAAGGAAAAGTGCTGCCCATTGCCCAAACAAACCAGTTCTGCCCTGGGACAACAGGGAAGGGTAGGTTTGGGAACAGAAGACAGCACCCTGGGCAGAGCAGCGCCCAGCTGAGTTGATTGTTCATGGTATTGATGAAGCAGTCTGACAAGAAGGGCAAAAGAGAGGAATATGGAAAAGCATATTGCTGGTAATATGTGAAGGGCTGATGACACAGAAATGAAATAGGACACTTTGAGGTACAGCAGTGCTTCTGTGTGAACAGGTGGGAATTTTGGTCATTTGGACACTAATGTAAATGTGACCTTCACGGGCTCCCAAGCTGGGTGACCATCAGCATAAGTAGCACAACTCAGCACTAGCCCCTAATGTGTCCGGGGCAGCTCTCTTCTGGTCTACTATTCCCATATTTTAACATTGGAGTGCATAGACATTGGGTCCCGTTTTTGAAGGAACATGCTATAACTGTAAATTATAATTTCTGGTCCTAGGTCATATCCACCATCAGCTTTCCTTTTTCCTCTGATTATTGAAGGTAGAAATCTAAAAATAATGTCACTGGCCTTCTTTACAAATCACCCATTCTTCTCTTCTGCTCTCTTCATGTTTATTCTGCTTCTCACACAAAATGTGACTCATAAAACTTCAGATTATTGTTAATGTCCTTACTAACACCTCTTGCCACCCTTAACTTAGTCTCACCCAACATGACAATTCACACTTTCCTCAATACTTTTATCTTTTTAATGTTTATTTATTTTGAAAGAGAGTGTGAGCAGGGGGAGGGGAAGAGAGAGAGGGAGAGAAAGAATCTCAAGCAGGCTCCTCACTGTTGGTGCAGAGCCTGATGTGGGGCTCGATCTCACAAACCATGAGATCATGACCTGAGCCAAAATCAAGAGTTGGATGCTTAACTGACTGAGTCACTCAGGCACTTTCCTCAATATTTTTAAATTTTGCTTAGTCTACTATAATATTCTCCTCATTAGCCATTCTATTTCCACTCTGGTCTATCTTCAATACTACTGCCTAAACCTTCTGAAATCAAGAAATCTTGCAACAGATCCTTGGATACATTTGGATACAAATTTAATTTTAAAGTTAAAATTAAAACAAGTGTTTCTGAAGTGGTACTATAACACATTGTACTTACTAAATGTTCTATATGTATCCATTTTTTTCTTTCTCAGCATGCTTAATTATCACCTATAATTAAAAAATTCTACCAGTTAAAAAGCTTGATTTGGAAAATAATGATCACAGATGTATTATTTAAACTAGGCTGCTGCCATTTTTGAGAAATGAGGCTAGGGTATCTTTTAAGACTTGAGAAATAAACTGACATTTAAAATTGCTCCTTGAGAAATGTATCATTTTGTCTTATTTTGTTTGTTTTGACATCTTTCAGTCCTACGAAGGGATTCTGTTAGCTGATTTTTGTCCAGATCTTTATTGATACAGACAGAGTTAAACAAAAAAGAGACTCCTAGTTTCTCATCCATCACAGGCATTTCTGGTCTATTTTTTCTTAGTATGTTACAACGAAAGTGGAAAGAACCCTTTAAAGAACGTCATCTTGACCAGTAGGATAGAATCAAGGTGGGAAAATGACTGTTGGGGGCTGGGTGAGAAGGGAAAATGAGTGATTGGCATGGAGGAGGGCACTTGTTGAGATGTTATATGGATGTTGTTGGATGTTATACGGAAACCAACTTGACAATAAACTATATAAAAAATAAATAAATAAAAACTATTTTAAAAATAAAATAATGGGGCGCCTGGGTGGCTTAGTTGGTTAAGCACCCGACTTTCGCTTAGGTCATGATCTCGCGGTTCGTGGGTTCGAGCCTCGCATCAGGCTCTGTGCTGACTGCCAGCTCAGAGCCTGGAGCCTGTTTCAGAGTCTGTGACTCCCTCTCTCTCTGACCCTCCCCTGCTCACGCTGTCTCTCTCTCTCTCTCCTAGAAATAAATTTAAAAAAATTTAAAAATTAAAAAAAAATAAAAATAAAATAAAAATGAAAGAAAAGAAAAATGACTGTTGTATGTCCCGTGAATGTTTCAGTTAAGTGCGTTGGTTGAGGTAAAATGGTCAGGAGAGATGTAACAAGGCCAAACAAGAACATCAGCCTTTAGTCAACAAGAATAATCCCAAGAGAATATCTTTAGCAACTCCTCAGAAGGAAGATGATGGCCTCCTGTAAGAGGTCAATAGAGATCTGACATAATCTCAGAATTCAAGGAAACAGCCCATCTTTCATTATATATTAAAGGCACATTTATAATTGGAAGCCAATAATCAAATCCAAATCAATTTACCCACACACACATTATATTAGGGCATGAAGGCTACAGAAATACAATATTATAAATTCTTCTTCTTCGTGTAGCATACTCCACATATGCTTTAAAATCACCATTTCAATACACAGTTCTCTATTTTCCAAGCAATCTAATTGTAAACATGTAATCACTTTTTTCGCTGGTGTATTACTCTAGGACAAAAATTTGGAAACTCTTGGTTTGATTGGTCTTCTGCATTCATGAGATGACGCGCCTGTGTTGCTCAGTTGGTGGGACCACTGACTCTTTGATTTCGACTCAGGTCATGATCTTACGGTCCTGAGATCTGGCTCCACACTGACACCTACATGAACTATGTAAGCAAAATGGTAAAAGATACTTGCCAATGGAATGCATCCAAGACGAGGAACAGGCACAGATGTGGGCATCAGACATTAGAGCTAGGAACGGGAAGGTTGACTTTATTCGTTTAAAAAACACACTAGAATGGGCATGAAGGAGGGCACTTTGGGGATGAGCACTGAGTGTTATGTAGAAACTAATTTGACAATAAACTATTTGTAAAAAAAAACAAAAACAAAAACAAAAACACACTAGAGGCGCGTCCCGGAGACTCCGAGCTGGGGCAGGGGCGGGAGTCGGGACGGGAGCCTGGGGCTGCAAGGCTCTGTTGCAGGAGCAGCCGCCCGCCGACCACCTGGAGGCCGGCCCCAGGGCGACTTCGCCCGCGGCCCGCATCGCTACAGCATCGCCGCCGCCGCGCGCCCGCGCCCGCCGCGGCCCTACAGCCACCTGGTCTCAGGAATACCTACCCACTGTCCCAGGGCCTACGACATTTCTATCCACAGTCGAAATGTCACCGGGTACCCTGCCAATACCATTGTCGTTGGAGGCCGCCCAGTCTGCAGTCAAGTTTGGGAGGACTTCTTCACCTTCCTGGGCATCTTCCTGGCCGTCATCTTGTTCCCATTTGGGTTCATCTGCTGTTCTCCCTCCAGGAAGCAAAGATGCCCCAAGAGTGAAGCAAACTTTGCTTCAAGAGAGCACCACACCTGGCTTTCCTACATCCTGCCATCTTTTTCTAATGTAAATGTGTACAATAAATAGCTTTATTTGATTTAACTTTCAGGATTGTTTTGTAAAGTGAGGTGGGATAGATCTGGCTAGTGGGAACTGGGGTCTCATGGGCACAGGGGTCACAGCCTTGGACACACAGCAACACTGCTCCCAGGGTGAATGACAACCCAATAAAACATTGCTTTTATTTTTTGTGGTCTTCAATTTGAGAAATGTGAGAAATAATGTTTTAAATAAACGAGTCATACCATTGTACAAAACAAACAAACAAACAAAAAACAAACAAGAAAAAACACGCTGGAGAAAGGCTCTTAGTTGCAATCTCAGTACCCAGCCTCCTCTCCTTACTTTATAGAACTCTAATTTTTCTTGGCAATCTGCCCAGCTAAGACATTTCTCGGCCTCTTTGAATCCAGGCATGATCATGGGACAAAGTTCTGGGCAAACACATTTCAGCTGAGGTCTTTGTTTGGAGCTTCTAAAGCTCTTTAAAGAGACCTCACTTATCTGGCATGTGTTCCTTCACCAATCCTTCTTCCTGTGGAAAACAAAGAAAATAGCTGGAGCTGCAGCAGTCACCTTATAAGAACAGCACACACTGAGGAGAGCGGAAAGACAGCACTTAGGGTGTGGTTGAAATTGTGAGCCTGCCCTACCAGCCCTGAGCAGCTCAGAGTCCCTGCTTTGTGTCAAGTTGAGAAGGACATGAGATGAAAAAAGAGAGTTCCTTTTTCCAGAGAGCCAACAATAGAAGCAGCTAACATTTATTACACACTTGGTATGTACCAGAAACCATTCTTCGTGCTTTACATGCATGAGAATAACACGTGCATGAAGGATTATTCCATGTATACAGATGAGGATACACATGCAGCTGGGTTAGCTACTTGTGGTAATTCGAGGCTTGAAGCTGGATCTTCTGTCACGTGCGTGGTTAACTACAATGCTATACTGGTTTCTAGTCTTATCAACTATAATTCAAATTTGAACTCAAATTTAAAGGGATGAAAGTCTTGATGAAAAGGAGTACAGGGAACATAGGGAGCAGAGGGGAGAATGTCAAAGTTTCCAGCAGAATCTAGGGCACTTACCAGGGGTGTCAAAAATGAGTATGCATGGGGCACGTGGGGGGCTCAGTTGGTTGAGCGTCCAACTTCGGCTCAGGTCATGTTCTCACAGTTTGTGAGTTTCAGCCCCGCATTGGCCTCTCTGCTGTCAGCATGGAGCCCATTTTGGATCCTGTCTCCCTTTCTCTCTCTCTCAAAAATAAAGTTTTAAAAAATGAGTATGCATTCACCAAGCAGATCAATATGAGATGTGATGACAGTGCTTAGTTTTGATCTTGAATATGAAGACAGATGTTAAGTAGGTAGGTAGATTTTAAATTATAGCAATCAATGTGAAAGTGGACAACGGACCTAGAGACTGTACAGATTGCTCTTCCAAGAAGCTTGACTGTACAAGTGAAATGCAAGTCTGTAGGGTATTCATATTTGTAGGATATTCATATATACATTGCTATTAACAGTGTACTGAGGCTATCCCAGTCAACATTTAATCAAACACATAAGATAAAGTATATTGGAAAGACCATGAACTTTAAGAATCAGACAAAACTGGATTTGAAAACTTGTGCTGTCACTTATTTGTAGCTTTGTGTACACTGCATGCCTTCTCTGAGCTTGTTCCTTCATCTGTAAATAATTTAACTTCATATAGAACAGCTACAGACTACAAATTTAACAAAATATCACTTACATATATCTCGTATGGTATTTGTATTAATGGAATACCATCATCACGTAACTTCTATTTAGCAAAGGGTACTAATCTCAAATACTATCTGGTAAAGAATAAAAAGGAGACTGGAAATGAAGGTGGTTGCTTCCTGATGGCCACATTTGAACACTTCGAATGGACTTTTCTGTGGACTTCTGGTTAGGCCTTGAAATCTATCAGTAATTGTTAACAGCTCTCTTACTAAATTCTAAGTATAGCAGACATGTTTTCACTGGATTTTGCCCAGGAACCCCAATTCTGGGATCTTGCCCTTCGATCCCTCCCCATCTCCACCCCTGGTTACAATGCAGATTTTTAAAGTGAAGCACAAATACTTAAACTTAGCATTAATTTTTAAAATTCTTCAAGTATCTTAAGAATTCCAGTATTTCTCAAGTAATCTTAAACATTATCCCTTCTTGCCATGATAACATAGCCCAAACAGAACATGTTCACATGGAAACATGCTTTCACATCATGTCATAAAAGAATTTCAAATCACATTTATGGAAGTTAAATTCTCCTCTGTAAAGTGCTGACAGATGTAGCTTGTTTCAAAATATCAGTGGCTGCTTTTTAGCTCCAAAGCACCAAATTGGACCAGACTCCAGCCCAACTTCAGTTATTCCACTCCCTTCCAAAGCAGTGTTTCTCTGCTGCTATTAGTAATAAGATGCTGTCAGAAGTTGGCAAGATTCCTGTATTTAGTGGCAGGTTAGATAATGTGGCTACCAAGATCCTTTCAAACCTTTGAGGTTGAAGGCTGAGACATCTTTTAATAGGTACCTTTGGTGATGGATTTAAACTTTTAAGCTTCAATGTCTCCACATGAAGACTTAGATATTAGCTATTTCAGATTTGACTCATTTTTTCCAAATATACTTTTACTTTTATCCAGAACTGAAGTTTATTAAACCATTATTCATTGATTTCCTTAGATCGAATTGCACCTAGACTCTATAAACTTCATAGTGTTACAAACGTACACCTAGTAGAGATGACAAAGTATGACTCCTTAGGTCCCCCCAGAAGATGGCTTTTAGAAATGAATTAAGTATTTTAAGGGAAGTTACACTTTATGTTATGGATTAAAGTAACAGAATACAAGCCCATTGTTAGTGTGTAAGAACAAGTCATAAATTATTTTATAGCTTCTCTACTAAAGCCTAATTTTAAGCTGTGGAATAAATCCAATATTTGAACATATGCTAACATAGCTGAGAGAAAGCAAAAAAGAAACTTGAACCCCAGGAACCAAAAATGACCTGCTTCCACTAACCCCAGGTTCTAGCATATCCCAAGACACAGTACAGCAGGGAGTGAAGGATTCAAAGAAAAATGCTTTCAAGCGTCACATTCATTCACAGCTGAAAACCATCCACTGTATAATTCTGAACTGCTCTATTATATTAAATAATTTATTTATAAAAATAAAATTTCCCCAATATAACAATGGTATTTTATACCATGCTAATGACTAAAGAACCATTTTTTTGCTCCCTACCTAAGAGGGACAAGGCTGATCAAAAACAGAAATTATTGGTGTAATGTATTCTAAAGTGATAAAATAAGACAAAGCATGGTAAAGACTGCTTTATTGGAGGCAGTTAGTATAAGTCAATAAATATTGATCCCCGAAGAACTCAGTTATTTATCAATTATTGGTCCATAGAGAGCTGAATGAAACTGAACCAACTGCCTGTTGAGATGATAAACTGAAGTCAGTCTTGCTTCTTGGGAAATGAAGCCATAACTAGCTGATATATGGCATATGCTGTTCCTAAAAAAGAAAAGGAAACAAAAAAAGAACTTACAAGAAATTCTGATCTTTACAGGTATAGCAGACATAATACTCCAGCTAAAAGTTGTTAACAGAAAGGGAAGTTTGGTATTAAGACTACTTTTATGGGAACACAGAAAAGTATTTTGATAGGTGCTGGTAAAATTTGAAATAAATACATGTAGAATACGGTTAATCTAGTTTTAGTAGCACTTAACTTCAGAGGAAAGTGTTAGATACAATATGATAATCTATTTGTCAAATTGATAATAACATGCAAAAAATTTTCAAATAAGATTAAGAATATGTATCAAGGTTATTTCCGTACTAAACTAAGATTGCCTGAGAAATGCTAAGAATGATTCAAAAATAAAAAAAGAAGTCAAGATATACAAGCACTCCCTAAAGTATATTGTTAATATTAAACCAAGGAAGAACGACACATCATTTTTAAATGATCAAATTTGATGTAAGAATAGCTAATAACTGTTTACCAGAATATTTAGGAAATAGTCACACTGACCAAAAAGAACTTAGGAGTCTATCTTAAGACAGCCCAAATGTCACAATCTGATTGCTGTCTTCATCCATAAATGCCACTTCACTCTATTCAAACCAAGCCAAAGAAAGGACCTTGATATCAGCAGGGGGACTTCGTAACTAGGGTTCAAATTTCAGCTTTTCCACACAAAGGCAATATTAACTTGGGTAATTAACATAAAATTTCTTCATCTTTAAAATGAGGACACATTATAGACAATAAAAAGGTTACAGAAATCCATTTATGTGGCATTGCTAGCAATAAGATGAGCACACAGTAATCACTCAAATATTGTTTCCATTCCTCCCCCAGAGAGCAATCACTTAAATTCTTAACTTTGCTCTTAGCATACAAATTTGTAATATTCCATTGCTAATACTGAACAATGGACTTGCCCAATCCACAGAAAAAAATATCAAAGCACTTTGTGTACAATAAGTACTGTTTTTTCTATACAGGTTTTGTTTCTGTCATAAACATGTATGTTCAGAATTTAGATGTAAAGTGTGTTATTATGTACCGCAATAAAAATGTTTAAAAAGTCCCTGTTATAGGAGATGGTGTAGAGATGTTTTCGGTTCCTCCAAAGGCCTGTAAGAACACGGGTAGCACACTCTGAAAGCCACCTCTATCATAAATAGTCCAAACTTTACTGCTTTATTTTTTTAAGATATTAAAATGTTCTTATACAGTATGTATCAATCATTATCTTGAATCCTTACACGTAAAGCAATAAGATCTCAGATCTGGAGACAGTCTTCCTATGTTAAAATACTGACATAGTAAAAGGAATGAAGTTGTTAGTAATCCTTACTGTTACCTATTGGTAAGTCAAGCATTCCAAATAGCTTACCACCAACTGTAAGTATCATAGTGGCTCTATACAGGAGGGCATCAGCTACTCCACCCTTTAGATGCACTGGAATTCCATTATCCTCCTAGATT